CAGGAAACCCCACAAAATAGCTGGTTTTCACACCATGATCATATCACAACCTTTGCCAGTTTTGAATCAAGACATGGGAATTTAACAGATATGACACTATCCTATGCTTGGGAAATGTTGGGGTTCCCGAAATTCGTAGCTCCGGACAGTTCCCCATGTGTCAGGACAAAAAAAAAGGTTGTCCAACAAATGGCTCTGAACAGCCCCCTCCATGAAACCCACAACATTAATGTAAATACCCATGGCATACCCTCTGGTTATGTCAAAATAGCTATTGAAAATGGCCATATCAATAGTGGATTTACCCATGAAAGATGGTGATTTTCCTTAGCTATGTCAGGGGTTGGTAACTGTCCCATTTTGGGAATATTGGACATCACCTTATAGTAGCCATTATAGACCATATACCTAATGGTTGGGTGATGTTCAATGGGGACATTTAATGACCCATGTATGTTAGCTTACCAGAGGGTACCTCATTGTAATATTCATTTTTGTTTATTGAACATCTGGTACAATGTGGGCCGCGAGTTATCTTTGTTGCTTCATAGACCGATCCAACTGTAGATTTTTCTCTTGCATAAACCGAATAGATAGTCTACTTAGTTCAACCAACAAACGCATTTAACCTCACATAGTTGGTAAAACTCCGGTTTGGGAGTTTGGAACATCATATCCCCAATAGTTGGGTGATGTTCATTGAGGACATTTCCCCCTGATGGATAGTTGATTTTGTTGGATTTTGTTGGTAGCATTCCAAGTTCATTGATTGACAACTACCGTATTTGTTGGATTTCTGGGAAAGATTAACAAGTTATAAACCGTACTTGGTGGTTCATCCACTTACTAGTTGTATCTAGTTGTAGGTTATAACCCCGGTGATTAAAGTCGGGTAAGTATGATAGTATGGTTAGTCCGTTTATAAAAAGGGGATCTTACAACTCACTTACTAAGTGGGATGAGCCACCAAGTAATGCTTCACCAATTTATTGGGTTTCTGTCGGGATTCTAGTTGCCTTGACCAAGTTGGGGGCCCCTCGGGTAATTTCACATAACTACAATGTGGGGCCCCCCAGTGATGTTAGTTGGTTTATAAGCCCCAGTAACTATAATAGTTATAAGTTATAAGTACCATAAACCATAGTTATTGGAGTTATAAACCAACTTAGCTATCTTGGGGGCCTCACATTGTATGGAAAATCACCATGCTATCAATGGGGAAATCAACGATTTCTATGGCCATTTTCAAGTCCGCAAACCGTTAGTTTACCAGATGGTAAACCATTTTCATATCAAAAATGGGTATGGGTCAAAGGTACCTCAATCATTGGATGGTGAAGATAGAGTTGTTGAACTAAAATCTGTGGTCCCCCAGGACTTTTATTGTCCGTACCCAAATGATGAGAAACCATGAAATTGGAAAACTCCAATGAACTATGGAAAAATGAAACTTGGGATTCTAATATTTAATTTACTCCACCATTTCTCTACCATTTTCATATAGAAACACATGTATAACAACGGTTTTCGAATTGGGAAACTCCAATGATAGCCAATATGAAAGATACCCTGCAAAAAAATAATATAAACCTAGTTCCATAGAATTGGATGATGGAAAATATTACAGGAAAACCCTATATTTGATGGTAAAAACCATGGTTTCCCGTAGATTTTCCCTTAAACCAATCCATTGATAGTTGGCGAAGGTAGATAATCCCACTGATACCTAGCCCGACTATCCAGGATGAGTTACGATTAGTTTCTACCCAAGATTGACCCGGCTCCAAGAGGCTCCTACAAGGTGGTGCCCCATACTTAGCTAAGTTGCTTTATAAGTCCAACCTACAATGTGAGGCCCCCCAGTGATGTTAGTTGGTTTAGATTCGCCCCAGTAACTAGTTCGTTATTTGCGTACCATAAACCATAGTGAAATTGGAGTTATAAACCAACTTAGATATCTTGGGGGCCTCGCATTGTAGGGTTTATGGGGTTTATGGGGTTTATGGGGTTTATGGGGTTTATGGGGGTTATATCTATAGTTAATGGGGATTATAAAGCAACTCTGGTTGGTGGTTTGAACCCCTCTGAAAATATTAGTCAGTTGGGAAAATTCTTCCCAATATATGGAAAAAAATGTTCCAAACCACCAACCAGTATAGTTAATGGGGATCATAAACAAACTAGATATAAAACAAAATCCGATAAAGGGGTACCATTCATATCGTCTTATAACTGGGGGTACCATCAGCACTGGATATCCATTTCCCCACCTGGACGTGGCAAAGGGGCACCCCAACGAGTCCTCACAAAAAAAACAGCGAAGGCGACGTGTTTTTTTTGTTTTTTTCCGGGGGGGATGAGGGATGTTGAGCAAATGTCAATTAGGATTTCGGGATACTTCAGATTACTTCAGTTTTCTGGGATTTTAAGTGATGTTAAATCAGCTAAAGTGGGAATATTATTGGAGGTGTTGGTGTTGTTTTTCGATGTATTCAGATCATTGAAAGGCTTGAACATCTTGAACCTCTTGACCCTTGTTGATCATTTCTGGTTGGTGGTTTCAATCCCTCTGAAAAATATGAAAGTCAGTTGGGATGATTATTCCCAATATATGGAAAAATAAAATTCATGTTCCAAACCACCAACCAGATTTGTTTTGCAATTTTGGGTCGACTTCATTTGTTTGGCTTGGTGTTTTTTCACAAGGACCGAATCCAGCTGATTTAGGTCAATGGCCCACATGGTGGTCCCCTGGGTTCGAAAAACAAAAAACAATGTGGAGCCGCCCAGTTATAAATTGTGTCATAACATCGAAGCACTTAAATCTATCCATTGTGAATCCAAGTCAATTAATTAGCCTATGTAGTTTTAATCTAGGGAACCCCTTTCGTACCAGTTTGACAAGTGTTCAAAATTATCTGTCACTCCATTGTACGTTCGGGACTTCCAGTTCATGGATGGTGTTTTTTTCGCGAATGTACAAAAGATAGTTTGTTTTGTTTTTTTTATGCAGGCGAAAAACAATTAACATCATCAACCAACCATCCTTTATCAGTTATCTTATCTCAAGTTATCTCCTCATATTGTTCATGCTCAACAAATCCCTATAAATATCGTGACAATCATTTTTTATCTCCCCATATTTTCCATGGTCAACAAATCCACCCCCCAAAAAATGACAAGTGATTGACAATTTGACAATCCCTATTTTTAATGGTCAACAAATCCCTATAAATGACATGACAATAAGGTCTTATCTCCTCATATTTTTCATGGTGACCAAACCCCTATAAATGACATGACAATTAGTTCTTATCTCCTCATATGTTTCATGGTCAACAAATCCCTATAATTAAATGACATGACAATAAGTTCTTATCTCCTCATAGTTTTCATGGTCAACAAATCCCTATAAGTGACCTGACAACCCCTAAAAGTGACATGACAAATATGACAATCATGAGATTATAGATAATCCGAATAATCATTATATTGACAATCCCTAGCGATAATCCCTATAGATAATAATCTATAATGATTGTCTCTATCATAACAATATCCCTATAAACATCTATAAACTATATGCTAATATTATTGACAATCCCAAAAGATAATCACTATCCCATATGCTCCATGTATGGTATATTTACCTACAAAACTGGGTGATTTTGTTCGGGCAAATGTTGGTAAATATTTCAGCACCATGGAGCATCTGGGATATATATATATATGTAGATAGATAGATATACTCCAATAACTATGGTTTATGGTACACAAATAACGAACTAGTTACTGGGGCGAATCTACACCAACGTTCACATCACAACGGGGGACACCACTTTGTATAGATAGGTGATTTTAACCATCATTTAGTAATAACATACGACAGAAGTGATAGACATGATATATATATATATAACACCACTTTGTATAGATAATAATAAATCATTGTTCCTCAAGCTGACTTTCACTGGGCACAGCTCCGCATGCTCGCATGCTCCGCAGCTTCCCATCCTGAACTCGCTGGAACGTTTCGAGCTCGATGGGTACGGATACGCACGGCCCAGGTAGCGCCTCCCACGACATCCGGAGCTGAGGTGGCCATGATTGGATGGATTTTCCTAGCTGGAAACGTCCATAACTGGGGAATTTTCATGGATTTTCCATGTGTGTTGTTGATTGAATGTTCATTGAATGTTGATTGAATGCTTATAGAATCTGATTCAGGAAACATATTGATGAGACGCATCTCTTTTCACATCTGTTGGCCATGACGGCCATGGATGTGTCCACAAGAGAGGTTGGCCATTCATAGACAAGGTTAGCACCCCCCACTTGCAAGTTTGTTTATAAGCCCCATGAATACTACAGTTCTGACCATAAACCATAGTGACTGGTTGGTGGTGCAATAACCATCTTGAAAAATATGAGTTCGTCAATGGGAAGGATGACATCCCGTATATTATGGAAAATACACACTGTTTGAAACCCCCAACCAGTAAACCATAGTGAGTGATTGGACGCATGGCCAGCAACTCCCGGTGGCACGTAGAGTTTTTTGGAGGTTCCAGCAATGTGGGATTCACCCAATGCCACCAGACCGAATAACAAAATTTTGATAAACCAAAAGTCAACAGTACAGGTTCCAGAGCAAACTATCCCAAGTAGTTCAAGCATCCCCTTTTTTTTCCCTCCAAAATAACATTCTGATTCTTCATTTTTTTCATTCTTCCAAATTTATGCTCCCGTTTTTGGGATCTTGAACAGCACCTTCAGCCATATCTCAGGACTATTCCCAATAGTTGGGTGTTGAATTTTCACTGATTTACAACTCCCATCTAATTCTGGGTAAATTATCATATGATTTACCCAGAATTATGGGAGTTACCCTCAGGTTATGACTAACATAGCCATGGAAGCCATGGCCCATAGAAATAGAAGATTTTCCCAGCGAACGAAACCTCCATTTATAAGGCTTTTCTATAGCTTCCATGGCTATGTTAGTCATAACCAGATGGTAAACAAAAAAAAGAAGAAACTTCGATGCAACCTGAAACCGACCATGGGGATGATCCCATGATCCACGGCCTTCCGCCGGTGATTTCCAAACTTCGAGGAGAGACCAAGGAGAAAATGGCGCGTGCGTAGCGCTTGCGCTCCTCAATGGCGAGGTGGGGCCCCCGGTTTCTGCGATGTTTTTCGGCCGGGCCAGATGTGTTTTTCGGGTGTTCATTGGAAAAAGGATGCGAACATAGAAAAAAACAAAGGGATACCATGGGAAAAGCAAAGTAGACACCACTAATACCTAAAACATTTGCAGCAAAAATGATTCAGTGTGATTTGTATATGGGTGTCCACATAGAGGAACATCATCTGTATACAAAGATACAAAAAAGGTTCATGGCCAGGTTAGATTGTTAGATTGCCTCACGAGTAAAATGGTGAGCAGGTTCACAATCAACTACCCTCTCGTAATTTAACATAACTATGGAAAATCACAATTTTTAATGGGAAAACTCACTATAGATGGCCATTTTCAATAGCTATGTTAAATTACCAGAGGGTAATCATGTTCCCGCATCACAATCAACTGCCCCCTTGTAGGGGCAGTCCATGAAGAGATTGAACATCTTCCACCAGGATTTTGCAGGAAAGGGATACGGCCCTCAGAATCAAAGCACTGGGAAGTCCACCATTTAGAAATTATTGTCATATATGAACAAATAAAAACTTCCATGTTTTTTGGAAATTTACCATTGAAATCTGTGATTGCCAAAGGGTACTCAAACTGAAAGCCATTGTTGAGTTGTTGAGTCGCTGAGTCCCGTTGAATCTTCACCATCCAGGAAACATCCGTGGTAATCTTTCGTGGCTTCGTCTAAACAGATGGTTACCCTCTGGTATATAAACATACAAAAAAACTATGGAAAATCACCATGCTATTAATGGAAAATCCACTATTTCAATGGCCATTTTAAATAGCTATGTTAAATTACCAGAGGGTAATCCACAGCTACCCTCTGGTAAACATACACAAAACTATGGAACATCACCATTTTGTAGCTGGGTCAACGAGCTAAATTTTTATAAATGACCATTTTCCATAGCAAACTGTAAGTTTACCAGAGGCTATCTCATCATTTCCCCTCACTGGAATCATTGCATTTTCATTGCTGGCTATCACCCCAGCCACTAGAATCGCATCCCCCCCCAGGCAAGAAACTGATGCTGAAGCATTGGCCTTCAAAGAATGACCTGGGGGCCGAGCCGACCATGGTGATTTTACATATTTTGTAGGAATGGGGTGACGACTACTGACATATCACCAGCCAATTTCGGGCCGATGGGCGGCCATAACTGTGGAGCTCCCACCCAACGTCCTATTGGATTGTCCAAAGGCGGGATGTAAAACCGCAGGTCGAATGGGGGAGCATCTTTCAACTGAAGGGAAACTGGTTTTTAGTTGGCTACCTATTGGGGAGCCACGTCACAGATTTATCTATATGTATATATATATACATAGATTTATTAAATGTATATACATACATACATACATACATACATACATTACATTACATTACATTACATTACATTACATTACATTACATTACATTACAATACATACATACATTACATACATACATTACATACATACATTACATACATACATACATACATACATACATACATACATTACATTACATTACATTACATACATACATTACATACATACATACATACATTACATTACATTACATTACATTACATTACATTACATTACATTACATTACATTACATTACATTACATTACATTACATTACATTACATTACATTACATTACATTACATTACATTACATACATACATTACATACATACATTACATACATACATACATACATACATACATACATACATACATACATACATACATACATACATACATACATACATACACACATACATACATACATACACACATACATACATACATACATACATACATACATACAACATACATTACATACATACATACATACATTACATAAACATACATAACA